TGGCTCGCCTGACGGCTAGACCTGCGGACTGCAATCGTTGGCTCCGCCTGTTTCTGGCGGAAGTGTGGATCACCACACTTTGTCAAACAAATCACATTACATGAACCTTTATAAAAGGGAAAGTTTCATCATTTGTCTGTTGGTGCGATACTCGCACGCTGTCCAGCCCACGGTAGGTGAATTTCCGTGGGGAATTCACAACTGTAGTCGTTGCCTAACCGAAACTTGGCCCAAAATGCTTGGTCGTGTGGAAGCAGGTGCGTGGGAGGGGGAGCAACTGGAACCCTACCATGCTGACCTTTCGGAGACAGCGTATATACTACCGAGGTACGAGGTGATAACTAACTGACTGTAACAGATAGGTCATAAGTCTATTGTTTTTATGCTCACAATAAACGAAGATGTCAATTGGTCCTTAGGTTTTGAATTTGATCATTTTATGTTATGCTTATCTTTTGCCACACATACATAACAGCTACTTCACTCCCACATAGGTTTATCGTATGCAACCGCAATCGCACCGTGACGTTTATAGGCGAGTATTGATCAGTTTGGTCGCATACGGACACAGTCAAGGTGAAGATCGTGGAGACCTGACTCGATTCTACAACGTTATTTTCCTTCCTCATATGTCAAAGTGTATTCGTAAAGTGACTAATTGCAATCAACCGGATGCGGCAAGTCGTGGATTAACACTGGCCAGCGGTAGTACAGCCGATGCATTTTGGTCCGATCAACCGACTATGTCGCCTTTGCCCGCCTATCCTGGTTTGCCTCCATCTATCACAGGAACCGTTCTAGGCAATGTGCTCAATGCAAGTTCCGTAACCGGGGCTACGGAAGTCTCTCAAGCGAGGTAATTCGTTTTGATCACCGTGAGCCTTTTTGGTTTTCTTATCTCCAACCTACAGCTTTCGTCCTTTCACATGTGGCGGTCTTTGTAGTTAGTACAATGAATGGACAGATGCGGAATTATTGGTGACCTCATAGCTCAGCTACCAAAACGTATGGAGACGTAAACGGTGTCCATATATGGGCTCAACTCTCTCACTGAGGCACATCATCCTTTCACAATTTTAGTAAATGTCACTCGATTATCCACCAAGACACATATTTGTTTACTTCATGTTCAAAAACCAGCATGAACTCTGTTCCCACTATCCTAGGTTTTGCTTTTCCCCAGAAATCACGTTCACTTGGCAACAAATTACATCATGCAGCGAGTAAGAGTTCGTTTAGTGAGTTGGTGTTCAAATGCGTCTCCTTGAAATTGAAGGGTCGCGCATACTCCACCACCGAGCGGTCCGTTCTGCTACATGTTCGCAAGACTCTCGGCTAGTGCCCGGAAGACCGTCGTCAGAAGGTCTGTGACCAACAATGCTCATGTACTTCGAGCAGATAGGATCTAATTCGCGGTAAGGAACACTGGAGAATTCGTTTTCACATTGGATTCATTAGTTAGAGCACGTATGGTACAAGCCCAGTGGTTCGCTGCATTGCACCTTATTTACGGTTATTGTCACAGACTGGAGGAAACAAGTTTTAGGTCAACAGATGACGTAGATATGAATTCGGTTGCGTAGACCCGCTGTCTTCCGTCCTCCGGATTGGAGTCCGAAAAGACTTACTGAAAGAAATGACAGTGAACTGACAACACCAGCCTTTTTTGTTGTCGCACCAAAATGCTTGAATGGGTGCGCATGCAGAGTTAGATTCCGTAGTCCTTATTGACTGCAGAAGTTCACTTCCGTTACCGATTCCCTCAAAGCGGACACATCCCATCCACCATCGTACACTGATATGGTATCCGTCGTTCTTTCCATTTTAGTAATGGGTTACT